GGTGGGGGCAAAGGGGTTTGGCCAAGCTCTTCTCGGGGTTTTTTGGGGACAGGACAAGGGGTAATGGGCACAAAATTGAGCCCGGGAAGCTCTGAACCAATATGGGAACGAAATTCTTCCCGGTGAGGGTGGCGGAGCACTGAACAGGGAGGCTGGGGGGGCTCCTCTGGGGATATTCAACGCCCCCCTGGGCAGCCTGCTGTAGGGAACTGCTTTGGGATGGGGGTGGTGGTCCCAGGGGGTCCCTTCCAACCCCTACAGGTCTGTGATCCTGTGGGTTTTATCCACAAACCCCTCAACAGCAAGAGGAAGCACAGGGCAAACGGGGAGAGCGCAGCCCGAGGAGGAGCTGCTGGGGTTCAGGGCAGCTCCCGCACCCCAAAACCGGAGGGGAAAGCTCACAGAGCTGCCCCAAATCCTCCCGGGCTGGGCCCGCCGTTATCTCTGCCTCCCAGTCAAACCAGCAGCTCCCAGCTGGTTCTGATAGCGGGCTCGGGGCCTCCCGCAGCCTCCCAGTAAAGGCACTGGGCAGGAGGTGGTTTTGGGGACGGGCAGGAGGATCCATCAGGGTCAGGTCCCCCCTCGAGGACCCCAAACCCTTGGCTGTGGGGTTTTTTGCTTGGTTTTAAAGCCCACCAGGTCTCTGAGCCCCCACCCCACAGCCGAGGACCCCCAGCCCTCCACCAGCTCCATCCTCGGGGCCTGGAGCCCGGCCCCACTGACCCCAAAAGCTGCAGGGACAAGGGGGGGACATCCGAGGGGTGCACTTTCACCTCCTCCACCGCTTCTTTTCCCGTTTTCTTCACTGATTTCCCCTCTCACACACACAATTTGTGCCTTTTCTTGCAGAAAGCACCTCGGGACCACGCTCCTGAGCCCCCAAAGCCCAACCAGGAGCTCACCCACCCCCCACCCCGTGCAGTTTTACCCCCTCTCACGCTCATTTCCCTGCTTTTTTCACCAATTTCCCCTCACACACCCCAAATTTGTGCCTTTCCCTATGGAAATCCCTTCAAGGCTTGCACTCCTGAGCCCCAAAACCCAACTTTAAGTTCACACCCCGTGCAGTTTTTACCCCCTTTAACACTCAATTCCCTGTTTTTTCACCAATTTCCCCTCACCGCCCCCCAATTTCTGCCTTTCCCTACGGAAATCCCCTCAGGACCCACACCCCCAACCCCTCAACCCCCAAATATAACCCCACAAAACACACACCTGTGTAATTTTACCCCCTCTAATGCTTATTTCCGTGCATTTTTCATTAATTCCATTAACCATTTCATTAATTTCTCACTAAATTTCCCCTCACCCCCTAATTTCTGCTTCCTTCCTCCCTGAAACCCCTTCAACCCTCCACACCCCAAACCCACCTCTACCTCCACCCCACCCCCACCCCGTGTAGTTTTCCCCCCTTTTCACCCACTTTTACTTTTTATACCCCCCTTTTTTACTCATTTTCACCCTTTTTACTCATTTTCACCCATTTTCACACCCTTTTTCCCCTCATTTTTACCCCCCTTTTCCCCTCATTTTTACCAACCCCTTTTCACCCCCTTTTTCCCTCATTTTTCCCCCCTGTTTCCCCCCCTTTTTCCCTCATTTTTACCCCTTTTCAACCCCCTTTTCCACTCACTTTTCCCCCTTTTCACACCCTTTTCCCCTCATTTTTCCCCCTTTTCACCCCCTTTTCCCCCCCTTTTCCCCTCATTTTTATTACCCCCCTTTTCCCCCCCTTTTCCCCATTTTACCCCTTTCCATCATTTTTAACCCTTTGTAACCCCTTTTCACTCATTGTTCCCCTTTTCCCCCCCTTTTCCCTCATTTTTCCCCTTTTCCCCCTTTTCCCTCATTTTTCCCCCTGTTCCCCCCTTTTTCCCTCATTTTTTCCCCCTTCCCCCCCCGTGACCATTTAATTGTCACAGTTTCCCCACATTTTTACCCTTCATTTTTACCCTTCCCCCCCCTTTTCCATCATTTTCCCCCTTTTCACCCCTTTTCCCCTTTCCCCCCCTCTTTTTCCATCCATTTTTAACAACCTTTTCCCCCCTTTCACCCCTTTTTCCCTCATTTTTCCCCCCTTTTCCCCCCCTTTTTCCCTAATTTTTCCCCCTTTGTCCCCCCCTTTTTCCCTCCTTTTCACCCCTTTCCCCCCATTTTTCCCTCATTTTCCCCCCTTTTCACCCCTTTTCCCCCTATTTCCCCCTTCTCCTCACCACCTCCCCCTCCACACCCCACTCCCCCCTCAAAACCCCCTCAGGCCCCCCTGACACCAAAAAACCATGAAAACGACCCAAAAAAGGCGGATTTTTTTGCATTAAAACGCCAGGGCCTCGGCCGCGGGGTCGGGTCCCGGCAGCGGGCGTTCGCCCGCTGCCGGGACCCGAGCCCGCGGCCTCGGCCTAGCCCCCTCCGGTGCTCACCGGGCTCCAGCAGATGAGGGGGTCGGTGTCGGGGTCCTCCACCAGCGTCCAGAGCTTGGTGAGGAAGGCCGGCACGTTACTACCGGGCCCGGTGCCCACCGCCGCCGCCGCAGCAGCACCAGCGGGGCCCTCCATAGCCGTTAAAGGCCTCAGGGCCCGGGGTTCCGTGAGGCTTCAGCGCCGCCGCCGCCCGCCCCCGCCTCGGGGCCCGGCCGCCGCCTGCGCAGCGCCGCCCGCGGGGCCCTGCATGGCCGCCGCCATCTTGGGACGAGCCCCCCCTGCGCGCGGGGGGGCCCGTGCGCATGCGCGGCGCCGCCTCCGCCCCCCGTTAGCCACGCCCCCTCCCATTAGCCACGCCTCTTTCCCCAAAGCCACGCCCCTTTCCAGAAGCCACGCCCCCTCCCCGAAAGCCACGCCCCCTCCGCGGAGAGAGGCGGCGGGAACGCTGGGTTCTGCGCATGCGCACTCGCCCCTCGCTCGCTTCCCCCCCTCCCTCCTCAGTTGGGCGGGTGGCGGCGGCGCATGCGCACGGGGCCTCGCGCCCTCTGCCCTCTGACCCCTCCGTTATCCCCCCCCCTCCTCCGTTATTTTTGTCCCCCCCCCCTTCCGGGGGTGGAGACGGACCCGGAAGGCGGAAGGAGGCGGCAGGGGGCGGGGCCGTGACCTCTGACCCCGGCGCACGAGGAGCGCGGCGGCGCACGCGGCACCGGCATGGCGGAGGTGGGGGGGGGGGGGGAACCGGGAGGGGGTTACCATGGTTACCGGGGGCTACCGGGGGTTATCAGGGGGTTACCATGGTTACCGGGGGTTACTGCGGTTATTTGGGGGGTTACCGGGGGGGCACCGTGGTTACCGGGGGGGTTTTCCGGGGGGGTTACCATGGTAACCGGGGGGCTACCGGGGCGTTACCATGGTTACCGGGGGGCTACCGTGGTTACCGGGGGGTATCAGAGGGTTACCATGGTTACCGGGGGGTTACCGGGGGGTTACCATGGTTATTTGGGGGGGTTACCGGGGGTCACCGTGGTTACCGGGGGATTACCGGGGGGTTACCGGGAGGTTACCATGGTTACCGGGGGTTGCTATGGTTACCGGGGGGGTTATCATAGGGTTACCATGGTTACCGGGGGGTTACCGGGGGGGTCACCGTGGTTACCTGGGGGTCCCGGGGTGCCCCGGTCCCGGTGCCCGGTCCTGACCCCCTCCCGTTTTTTTCCCGCCCCCCCCCCAGGAGGCGCCGAGCCCCGGAGCCGAGGAGCCGGAGCCCAGCGGGGGCTGGGGGCTGGGGGGGCAGCGACAGCAAGAGCTGGGGGGGCAGCGAGGAGGAGGAGGAGGAGGAGGAGGAGGAGGAGGGGAGCGGAGAGGAAGACGAGGACGAGGAGGAGGAGGAGGAAGACGACGAGGATGAAGATGAGGAGGATGAGGATGAGGAGGAAGAGCCCGGCAGCACCACAGCCCCCCCAGCACGGGTGAGGAATGGGGCTGGGATGGGGCTTTTTGGGGTGGGGGGGCTGCGAGCCCCATGCCCCATTATTTGGGGGCAGCCACGGGGGCAGCCCCACAGCTGCTCACCCGGGGGGCAGGAGGGGCCCCCCCTGCCCGTTTGCTCCTGGAGCCCGCGTTCCTGGCGCTTCCCTCGTGGGCACCTTCCCTGGTTTTGATTATTTTTACTATTTTCATTATTTTTACTATTTTCATTATTTTTACTATTTTCATTATTTTTACTATTTTTCATTATTTTTACTATTTTTCATTATTTTTACTATTTTTAAGTATTTTAGGGGTGTCCAGGCCAGCTGGGCACGAAGGTTGGTGGAAAATTCACGCTGGAGCTTGCCCTAATGTGCGGCTCCTGCCGTGCCCCCGCTCAGCACCGGTCCCCCTCGGGGTGTCCCCGTCCCCCTCGGGGTGTCCCCAACCCCCTCGGGGTGTCCCCATCCCCGTGCCCCCTCCAGCAGCCGCTGGGGACCCCCAGCTCGGCTCCCCGGTGCCGCTTTGCTCCTCAGAGCACCCAGTTTTTTGGGACCCAGAGCAGAGGTGAGTTTGTAGGGAAAAACCCCCCAGAAACAGGATTTTTGGCCCAGGAACCGGCACCCAACTGCAGCGCTGATTCCTCTGCCTTTGCTAAATTCCTTCTCAAAACTCAAATTATTTTTTTAGCCCCGTTTGGAGGCTAAAAACCCATTGGAGGTGACACCACCTCCTGCGGCACGGCGTCGCGCTGGGGGCTGGTGGCAGTGCCCCAAACACCAGACCTCGGTGCTGCTTCACCAAAAAAGGGCTCGTGGAGTCGTTTGGGATGGCCAAGACCTCACCAAAAAAGGGCTCGTGGAGTCATTTGGGATGGCCAAGACCTCACCAAAAAAGGGGTCGTGGAGTCATTTGGGATGGCCAAGACCTCACCAAAAAAGGGCTCGTGGAGTCATTTGGGATGGCCAAGACCTCACCAAAAAAGGGCTCGTGGAGTCGTTTGGGATGGCCAAGACCTCACCAAAAAAGGGCTCGTGGAGTCATTTGGGATGGCCAAGACCTCACCAAAAAAGGGCTCGTGGAGTCATTTGGGATGGCCAAGACCTCACCAAAAAAGGGCTCGTGGAGTCATTTGGGATGGCCAAGACCTCACCAAAAAAGGGCTCGTGGAGTCGTTTGGGATGGCCAAGACCTCACCAAAAAAGGGCTCGTGGAGTCATTTGGGATGGCCAAGACCTCACCAAAAAAGGGCTCGTGGAGTCATTTGGGATGGCCAAGACCTCACCAAAAAAGGGCTCGTGGAGTCATTTGGGATGGCCAAGACCTCACCAAAAAAGGGCTCGTGGAGTCGTTTGGGATGGCCAAGACCTCACCAAAAAAGGGGTCGTGGAGTCGTTTGGGATGGCCAAGACCTCACCAAAAAAGGGCTCGTGGAGTCATTTGGGATGGCCAAGACCTCACCAAAAAAGGGCTCGTGGAGTCATTTGGGATGGCCAAGACCTCACCAAAAAAGGGCTCGTGGAGTCATTTGGGATGGCCAAGACCTCACCAAAAAAGGGCTCGTGGAGTCGTTTGGGATGGCCAAGACCTCACCAAAAAAGGGGTCGTGGAGTCGTTTGGGATGGCCAAGACCTCACCAAAAAAGGGGTCGTGGAGTCGTTTGGGATGGCCAAGACCTCACCAAAAAAGGGCTCGTGGAGTCATTTGGGATGGCGAAGACCTCACCAAAAAAGGGCTCGTGGAGTCATTTGGGATGGCCAAGACCTCACCAAAAAAGGGCTCGTGGAGACATTTGGGATGGCCAAGACCTCACCAAAAAAGAGCTCGTGGAGTCGTTTGGGATGGAGAAGACCTCACCAAAAAAGGGCTCGTGGAGTCGTTTGGGATGGCCAAGACCTCACCAAAAAAGGGCTCCTGGAGTCATTTGGGATGGAGAAGACCTCACCAAAAAAGGGCTCGTGGAGTCATTTGGGATGGCCAAGACCTCACCGAAAAAGGGGTCGTGGAGTCATTTGGGATGGCCAAGACCTCACCAAAAAAGGGCTCGTGGAGTCGTTTGGGATGGAGAAGACCTCACCAAAAAAGGGGTCGTGGGGTCATTTGGGATGGAGAAGACCTCACCCAAAAAGGGCTCGTGGAGTCGTTTGGGATGGAGAAGACCTCACCCAAAAAGGGCTCGTGGAGTCGTTTGGGATGGCCAAGACCTCACCAAAAAAGGGCTCGTGGGGTCATTTGGGATGGCCAAGACCTCACCAAAAAAGGGCTCGTGGAGTCATTTGGGATGGCCAAGACCTCACCAAAAAAGGGCTCGTGGAGTCATTTGGGATGGCCAAGACCTCACCAAAAAAGGGCTCGTGGAGTCATTTGGGATGGAGAAGACCTCCAAGGGCACCGGGTCCAGCTGGAAGCAGGCAGCAGGAAGGCGCTGCCAGCCCCAGCCATGGACAGACGCAGATTTTGGGGACGGCTCCTCAGTTTTCCCAAATCTTCCTCCCAGCACGAGGGACCCCCGCTGGTGCCGAATTCACCAGCTCTGGCTCCAGGGACCCTCGGCTCCAGGATTGCTGCTCTCTGCAATTTGGGCGTGCTCCTGCAGGAGCTTTGTGTTCGAGCAGACAGGAGAAGCAAAAAGAGGGCTGGGGGCTCTGGAGACGATGCCCACAACCTCTGGGTCCTGCTGGAACCCGAGCACGGGGGGCGTTGGGTGCTGGGGGCCCCCTCCGGAGCTGGCGACCCCCGGGGTGAGCTGCTGCTGCCCGCAGGAGGATGCTTTTAGGGAGCTGTGATGCTCCCTCATTAATTAATTACTCATTAATTCCACACATCTCATTAATTCCACACGTCTCATCAGTGCAGGGGGCTTTAAAACCCCTCAGGGTACCGGGGGCAGCCTGGTGGGGACAGCGCAGAGCCGGGCACGGAGCCGCGTGCCGGCACGGCGCCCATCCGGCTCCTGCGGGGTCCCGGAGCACTCGGGGCCGCTGCCCGCCCACCCTGGCTCGCGGGGGCTGTGTAAATTTTGGGCTGTCCTTGTTGGCTTGGATTTCCTCCTGATGACTTCCAGCACCGTGACAGGTCGGCCTCTTTTCCTCGGCAGCCCTGGCGCCCTGGGGAGGGGTCCTGGGGCTGAGGTGGTGCCTTGCGACCCCAGGAAACCCCCCCTGCACCGCTTCCCTAGCCCTTTGTCACTGCCCCTGCTCTCCCCAGGTACAAATCTCCCCAAATTTGTGCTCGTAGAGGCCGTGCTGGCCCGAGCAGGCTTCATCTATCCGTGGTTTTAGCGGTGAAATGGAACAAATGGACGTTTGCCCTCGGGGTGAAAAACTTCATGAAATCCCCCGAGGCACGAACCCCGTCCTTGCTCTTCTCCTGGAGGTGCCCATTTGGATCCTCCGACGTCTGAGCTCCAAGCGGAGGCGTCCCCGTGTTCACCTGCAGGCTCTGTGGCTGTTTGGGACCCCTTGGTCCCCCGCAAGAGGTTGTTGGAGGACGGAAACCCCCAAAAACAAAACAGCAGCGAGGGAAACTGTGTTTGGGGCTGCCGCAGCTCCCGAACCCGCCTGGCACCCCTCTCTTGGGCACTCGCCACCGTCCTCGTCCCCCTGCCGCGGTGCCGGGGGGGCTCCCCCCCACGGCTGCCGGGACCTCTCCCCTCCCGCTGGAGG